ACCAAGTACTTTGAGTTACCACTAAGATATAAGTTGACGTTAAGTGCTGTCGAGTCAGTTTCCACTCACAGCGATCCTGTATAGGGTTTCCGAAGAGTGGCTGGTGGGTTTGAACTGCCAGCCTTGTGGTTCACAGTCCATTGTTGATCCTACCGCGCCACACCAGGAGACTTGTTTGACTATGGTGTGATAACTATACACTCTTTGAGGAAGAGTTCATGTCTTACTAGATCTTGTAGGCATTCAATAGCAATTTATTGTATGGGTGAGTGAATTTATTTACAAATACACTATTCATGAGTTAGGTAACATATTACACCTATTTTATGTTTCAAGAGAAAGAACAGATAGGCTAAATTACTTATTCCAAGTCCCAGCACAACTTAGACAGGACTAGAGCCCAGGACTAGAATGTAGCCTTTGGACTTTTGACTAAGTCAAAAAGCCAGTATTCTTTCAACTAAAAACATGACCTAGGATATACAAAGAACACTCTCAAATCAATTAGAAAAATGAATAATAAGCTCAAACAGGCATTTCACAAGAGAATATACAAAATGCCAATAAATGTATGAAAAGGTGCCCAATCTCTTTAGTAATCAGGAAAGTAGAAATTGCCACCACAATGTGTTACCTCTATTCACCTATCAGAATGACTCATATGCTGGTGAGAGAAGGACACACCCACGTAGGAGAATACACTAGATTGTGCCCAAGGGAGACAGTATATATGCACAAAGAGATAAGAATATTCGTAACAACTTAAGTCATAATAGTTAAAAACAGAAATGTTCACCTGTATGAGACTGGATAAATAAATGCTGACATATTTACATAATTTTTGAATTCTGCTCAGCAAAAAAAATTAATGAGCTACAACTACAAACAACAACATGGATCAGTTATATAAATGTAATCCTGGTTGCAAAAATCTAGGCACAAAACATATATATATATGTATTATGACTACATTTACATAAAGATACAAATAGACAAAATAAAATTTAGGTGTTTTGGGATGTATGCTTGGGTAGTAAAACTAAAGAAAGCCATGAAACTCAGGATCATGTTTTTTGGCAGGGGAGTAATAGTATATTGATTGGGAGGGGCTTTCTTGGGTCTGACGATTTACTATTTCTTGTCTTATGGGTGATGCTTAAATGGGTGCTCACGTTGTGAGAATTCCATGAGTTGTACTTTTTTTTTTTTTTTTTTTACACTTATCTCTATGTTTGTGATAGTTTGCAATAAAAAAGGTTTAAAGGAAAGTCAGCAGAGATATTAGCAAAAGAGTGAAGGCGTCTTCGTGTGAGCAGGAAAACAATAATATCCTAGTCCCAGTGGTTTTCAAATGTTTTTCCCTGACCTATTTGAAACAGAGTTTATTCATTAGGTTCCTCATTGAAAACACTGGAGTAAGAAGGAAAAAGTCCTTGACAGTAGGGGAAAGGAATTTAAGACTGAGATGGATACTTCAAAAGAAGAAAGGAAAATTCACAAGGAAGGAGTATGCTAAAGAAATGATCAGAGACCAATACAATTAAGTTCCATTCTGTTCATACAACGGCACTGAACATGCTCTGAAAAAAATAAAGCACTCCTCACTTATGGAGTCCTGGTGTGGCACTGCAGGATAATGCACAGGACTGTAAGGTCTGTTTGAACCTCAAGGTTGGCAGTTCTAACTCACCAGCTGCTCCTCGGAAACC